CTACTGACATCGAAACCAGAGTGTCTTAATGACTTCTCAGTTGAGGTGCCCCTCTGTTAGTAAATAAGTGTCTTGCTAATGTTTGATTTTAGTAGATTTTAGCCAGTATTCATCTTCCTTGCCTTTCAGTGGAAAATAAAGCTTGTTTCACTGCGATGTGGATGCTCTGCTGTGTATTTGGCCTTGTGTCACTAGTGGGATGTAGGCTTAGAGCTGTCCATTGTGTTAGGTAACCCCTCATGCTTTCAGGTGATGCTGATTTGGGAACTTTGTAAGAAATTAAAACTCATTTATAATTCATATGGCAGCATCCTAAGTTAGTTTTGGCAAAGCAGATTTTAATTAGATGGGAGAGGACTTTGATTCTCTTTTTTCTCTTATTACTACTTGAGTGTTTCAGGAAAATAACGTTTGCTTCTTGTCATATACATTAGTACAAGAGGTTTCAGCTATTTCAAGCCTTTAAGTTACTGATTTGGTGGGGGAGTGGCATTGTTTGTTGGTTTTGGGTCCTCTGTGTGTGTCGTCCCCTCCCAGTATTGGAAGTGCGTCCCTTGCAGTAAATTTAAAATTACTGAGAACGGGCTACATTTTCTTCACAGTGTTTTGTGAGTTCTAGAAGTAGTTTGTGCCTTTTCTAGTTTGACACTGAGGTTCAAAAGTGTTGTTTTGGTAACTCTTACATCTGGTTTGTTCATTATCGTAAGACTTGCCTTGGTCTGGTTTTATTTGACATCTTTTAAAATAGCATCACTCGCAAAGGAAAATGTCAGTGATGTCTGATGGGACAATACTGAGATTCTGTTGAAAAGTTCTTACACTCTTCTCAGTAAAGTTTCACAAGCAGTATACAAAGTTACATTACTTTTATGTAAAAAAGACTAACATCAAATAGCCTACCTGCATGTAATTTAATAGATATGTCTGTGTGTAAGACTTATTTAGTCATCTTTTAGAATACGATAAAACGAAGAGCTAAAGCCAGTTTGTCTGCCTCTGAGACTTAAAAACAGATGAAACCATTAAGCATGGCAGTGCTTAGCAAAACCATTTGTGAAGACAGTAAACCACCTTTAAGTGCCTGCAGCCTCCCTGTAGTAACTAAGAAAAGTTTACATTTTTCATGTTTACCTTATACCAGTTAGTGAAAACTTGGAAAAAGTGCAGGAAACCAAGTGGGGAGCAAAAAAGCAGGGAAGTCTGTTTCTCAGAAAGTGATGGTGTCCTGCTGTTTGAGGTCACCTTATAGATGGAGGCCTTAGAACAAATCTCTTCTGTTCACTGACTCCGAATACTGCATGTTAAATACATCATTTAGTTTTCAATACTAAAAGAATTTGAATACATGTGATCTTCTCTTTTAGCTAGTGTATCATAAGGTTAGTTTTATAAACATTTAGAGATGCTCTTTTTGTTCCTTACATATTCAATTCCTGTTTCTGTCCAAAAAATAGCACAATGACGAAGACGAGTTGAAATAAATAGAAAATTAGAAATAGTTTTGGCCAATTTTCACATTTGATATTTGAAAAAGGGCTTTTGCATGTACAGCTGCATAAAGAAAGTGATGTAATTGCTTAAGTATTTGTGTAGTACATACTTCTGATTAGCGAAGAAAGTTTTTACACTAAATTTGGTAATAGATCTGTGTACTTGTAAGCCAGCGTGTTTTATAGTTGCCAAGCTATGAAAATCAACATTTCTTCAGGCAAATGGTGAAAGTACAAATGGAATACAGAATTAAAAACTTTCAAATGCAGCTCACAAACTAAAATTAGCAGTTTCAAATGGCAGCGATTTTAAAATCGGTCTGCTCTGAATGGCATAAATTGAATTAATCAAATGTTGAAGTTCTTCAAGGTTTTACACAATTGTTGCTGTCTTGTCATACTGTTGTGCACCAAAATAGAAATCAACTCCATGACTTGACCTCCTCCTTTGCGCTTCCCCACCTGATTTCTCTCCCCAGAATGACAATAATAAGGTGAAATAATCTCTCTGGGGAAAGTTGTAGACTCTGGGCCATATTATATTGCAGAGTGATGAAGCAGTTACATATGCTAACAACTGAAACCCGACTGGGTTTTTTACTTTGACCCTGAAGCCAACTGGCACTGGAAGAAAGTCTCTGACCTTCCAAACCAGAACGGACACGTCCTAACTGTGCCCGCTGGGTCCCTTGGGACCACTTCCCTTGGGAGTGTGGACTTGGCCTTGGCATCCTGAGGCATGGTAACTTGTTGAGAGGGGAGCCGGGAGGGGAACGAATGCTGCTGCTGCTGCCTGAAGTCACTGCCTGTCTTCTGCATCGCTTGGTCACCTTTTCAGATGCTAATTGATATACCTGCAGAATAATTTATCCCCCCCCTCCCCCCAAAAAAAAGTTTAATTTCTTTGAACACTGTGTAAAGTAGTAAGTTCATAGTGAGGATCAAGGCCTGAGAATAAAGGAAGAAAAGACTAGAACATCAAGCATCCTTTTCAGTGCAGAATCCATGAGAAACAGATAACTGATAAGCATTTTAACAGGTACAAAAGTTTATTACAAGCTAGTTGTGTTAACTGGAACATGTAAAAACAAAAAATTTGCAATGTCCAAGATTTAGGTCAGAGATATAGCCAGTCCGGTAAAAATAAATCTCATTTGATCCAGTCAAGTAAAAACTGTGTCCAGGAGGTTCCAATTCAGGTGAATTTGTAGAAAAGCTCTTAATATTGTTACAGTTCCATAAGAGAAATAGGTATTTCTTTAATGGTTTGATTTTTTTTTTTTTCCTTTTTGGTCATTCAATTGTATGCAAACCTGCCTCCTACATTATTGGTGAAACAATTTAATCCTCTATATCTTTTGCTGAGTTTATTTTAGTGAAATTTCACAAACTTTTTTCAAGGTATTATGTATTTAGGTAAAGAAGTGCTATCAGAATTACTGAAATAAATTTTTATTATTGCTAGTGTGATTTAACAGCTGGAAACAAAAGGAGCGGCACGGTGAGGCTCTGCAGTGCTTTGAAGGCCAGCGGTTATCTGGAACCACAATTGTTACAACTTTGTTTTAAGATGCAAGCAAGTTTATTTTGACAATTGAAAGAATTTGGATCCTGGATGGAAAGATGAACTGAGGGGAGGAAGAAATAATTACTTACTTTTTTCTTTCTTTAGAGTGAAAAGACTATGTGAGGTTACTTCTTCATACTTAGTGTATGAAAAATGTATATATAGATACATGGAGAGCTAGGTATGGCAGGGCCAGCTTCAGTGTTGCATGAAGTGCATTATTAGCCACTCTTACACTCGACTGGTTTAATTTCCTCAGTACAGATTAAAAAAAAATAACCACAAACAAAAAAACCAAAACAACAACAAAAAAACCCCAAACCAAAACCACCCCAACAAAAAAAGGACACTGTCTTCACCTACTAAAGGTTTGAATATCATGGAGATATCATTGAAATGGAAAAAACACCATGCTTACCTTGGCAATAAAAGGTAGTAAGAATAGTAAAGGAGGTTTTGCCCAATACTCCTCCCTGTTCCCAAAATTGATCTGATCTTGTTTAAAGCCCCTCAAAACTGAATTTTTCTGAGCCATACATGTAAAATTTTTGTACTAGCTTGAATGTAAGTGGTCTCAAAACAAAGGTGATGTACTGTTTTTCAGATTAAAAATAAAATTTGATAGAAGTGCACAAAATACAAGCTTGCATCTCTGCATGACCCAACACCCCACGATGTTACGTACAGCTTTTTCTGTTGTGCATTTTTGTAGGGTGATGCTCTCTTCCTCTGCAGTCATGCAATTATTTGTGTGACCGTGTAAGCGCTAAGCACGAGATCCCTTTGCAAGCCGGATCCACTCTAATTGCTCTTCTTCTGTCTGCCAAAAGCCGGCTCTGTCTGTGGGGCTGCGTGCGGCCGGCTGGGGAAGAATGGTTGGGGTTATGTTCCTGGCTGCCCACCCGAGTGGCCCCGGCTGCGTTGAGCTAGTTTCCTCTGAAGCGGACAGGCTGTATTCATCTATTCTGTATCACGCTTGGCTGTGAGCCACGGCTGGGTCTTGTACGCTGCTCATGGCGGCCTCAGGGAATGTATTTTTCTCTGTTTCTTTTAAGTTTGGAGTGTTTGAAACAGCCTATGTGGGTGATGTTTTTCGTAGCATGAGGTCAAGGATTATATGTTGAATGGTGTGAGGATATATTCGTTGAGTGGAAAGCCTGTTGAGAAGTTGTTAACGGACTGGGTAGGACAGAGGGAATCACACTGAGTGCAGTCTTACCCATACTGGTGTTTGGGAACAATTCCTGGAGTCACATCTTCCCAAAACCGTGCCTGGGCTTTGTCTTTGGAAAAGCTGTTTGGAACCAGGTAGGTGGCCGCTCTCTGGTCTTCCACCTGCAGCAGGTTGGGTGTGCGGAGGAGGTATAAATGACCGGACGGACCAGGTATGCCATTATAGGCATACCTACCTGGTAGGCTGCTCTGTCTCGTCAGAGTCTTGCAAAGCTGGTCCTGGAGGCTTCGCTTAAAGCAGGTTGTGGAGCTCCCACTCCTCAGGTCCTAGGGCTGCTTGCTTAGTGAGGATATAAAACACGGCACCAAAAAATGTTTCACATGATTTTTAAGGGACCGTATGGTAAATATACAGTTATGCGGTGATATGTGTTTTTTTTTCTTTCTCAGATTTGAAGGCCTATGTTATTTAGAAATTATAACGAGCCTGTACAATGCATAAAATGCATGTCAACACCGTCTTGTACCTGTGTAGTTCTCCAGTGCAATCATTAATGATGTGTTTTACCATTTGGTGACTTTCCTTTGTCTCGCTTAACAGCCTTGCATGACACTTGTATAGGAGAATACACATCTTTTCCTTAAGAAACAGGCAAGGATATCATTTAAGTAACGTCTTTTATATTTTGACTTACTTTAAATTGCATTTATTGTCAGATGAGTTCTTGTGTTACAAGCTTGTCATATCTCTCCTTGAACGTCATTTTGTAGTTAATTTCTTTGCGAAAATACAGAGAAAGCATACTAGGCTTCTGAAATCTTACAGTAATTTTTTCAGATATTACTCTAAAGGATGAACCATTTCCTCCAGTTTAATATTTTAAGCCAGCATTGCTTCAGCTTGCTTTGCGAGGCTTAACTATATCTGCAGTTATGTAAGTTTCAGTTATGTGATCTTTCATGGGCATCTATTTAAACATACAACTATTATTTTTAGTTGAAATATAGACTATATAAAGACTTAAAAGATGTGGGATCAAGGTGGACAACCTTGGCAGCAATGGCCTTTGAACCAACAGCAGTGGATGCAGTCATTTCAGCACCAGCAAGATCCAAGTAAGTATATAGAAAGCTTTGTGGATTTTTTTTTTTTTAATCTGTTGTCATTTGAATTTTTGAATCTGTGTTACAGAGCATGACTGATAGTTGCGTTTTTGTAGCTGCTGTCAAGATAATACGTTTATGATGCTTTTCTGAACAACTAGAAAAAATGGAAAACATACGTCAATTCCAAATGTTTTGACATAGTTAATATTTAATATGCAAAATACAGACAAGCAACCTGAGTTATCCTGGACAAATTATTGACATTTTACCAGTTACACAGATCAACTTTTAGACTTCATGTACTTTTACAGAATCTGTATCCCTGTCAGTTCTTTAGCCAAGCTGAATCATTTATTTGAGAAAATCTGCTTTTTATTCAGTGCCTGTGTAGCACTAACTACTAATGCAGATGTATACACAGAAAAACTCTCACTGGAAGATTAGTATGATACTTGTTTTAGGTTACAGCAGTGATGATCATGATGTTTTGTTTGGATTTTTTTTCCCCCCCCACCCCCCCCCCCCATTTTAAACAGTAGAACATAATATACCATAAATTGAGAGTGAGGTGACAAAAATTCAAAGTATGAAGAGAAATACAGAAACGGATAAAGAGGGTGGAGAAATGTGTTTAATACTGGGGCAGAGTGATTAGGTGCAGGGCTTTTACATGGCTTTCTGTCACTTCAATTTCTGTGACTTCACTAGGGAGGTTTCCTGACTTGATAATGAGCAGAAGTGATGCTAGTGTCCTCATTTGAGACTGCAATTTATTTACTTACTGGAGCGAATGGTAGTAAGGGGAAAAAAAGGAGGGAGAGAACTATAGCATAAAATAGTATTCCAGAAATCAAGGGTTATACAAAGAATATACATTGCAAAATGTAGTTTTCTAACTATGTATCTTTCTTACAATTGAATCTTAATGAATTTAGAATTCAAGGCTATACATATTTCTTTCTGATATCAAAATGAGTTCACTTACAAAAAAAGTGTATTGCTGCCACCCATTCAGTGCTAATATGAACCTAAAATAATGTGCCTTATGGCATTTTGAACATATGCAGAGAAACTCTTCTTCAGCAAGTATGTACGCTGACATTTGCTTTCGGTTTGTTTTACCGTACACTGTGAATAAATTTTAATGGTGCTTATGGTACTTGCTGAAGGTAAACGTTTCCCGTTTCTCTTGAGCAGTGAGACGTGTAATTGAGAAAGAAGTGTTAAACTCCAGACATGTGAATACTAACCTTTTAAATTCCCTCTGTTTATTTTAGGCCAGATTGACTGGGCTGCATTAGCTCAGGCATGGATTGCTCAGCGAGAAGCCTCAGGGCAACAGAGTGTAGTGGAACAACAAGGAATGATGCCAAACGGACAGGATATTTCAGGAATGGAGTCTGGGCCAAACAACCATAATAATTTTCAGGGAGATCCCAACTTCAACAGAATGTGGCAGCCAGGTTCGTTTTCCTTCCCATTCATTCCTTTTTTGTTTTTTTTTTTTTTCATGTAATGAAATTTTATTTTTGTCAGACATTTTTGGGTGTGAATATGTCCTGTCCCACAGGTTTCAAGTTGCAGAGCTACCAGTAGCATCAACTAATGAACTGAGTATCACAGCTGTATTTTACAGTCAGGTCTTCCACAAAATGGGTAACAGTACAGACACAAAGGTCTGATAACACCAGTTGGTAATCTCTATGTAAAATAAATAAATTTGGTTTATAATGTACATATACAAAAGATTTGTCCTCTCCCTGAATGTTGTAGAAAAATAAACTGTGAATTGCAGTTATATATTTATTTCCCTGGATGATATTCCTACATCTTAGGTGTTTTGTTGCTTATCCCACTGTGCTAGGAACAGCAGCACTGAAGGCAACAGGATGCCTTGGAATTAAAAAGCATCTGTTGCCCTCTCCTGTAGCGTTGCACCTACTTCTGGCATGGTCTTGACGTGTAGAATGAGTTCACAACATAACTGACAGATGCTGGCTTTGGGTGTCTTAAAAGCTTGAGAAAGGAGATGAGCAAAATTCTGTGTGTAAAATATGTTTTTATCACATATTTCATATACTTAGTATTTGCCCTTTTTGACTTACATATCTGATTGTCATCTGTGTATTTTTTTCAGTTATTTTAAGTTGAAGTTGGTTGAATGCTTCTGTTAGTAACGATTATTTTCAGTTCTTTGTAACTTCCTCCAAACTTCACTTTTGGCCCCAAATTCATTTTCTTTTTAAAACTTCATAAAATAACACTGGTAATAAACATGGGGTAGAGATTGGGTATTTTCTGCTAAGAATTTTTCTGGAGTTGTTTTCTGGAGGGTTTGTTATATCACCACACTATCGTGCAATTTGAAATGTGTGAGCAAGGTAGGTGGTAAGCCTGCGTGCACGCCTTCTGTTGTGAAAACTGCGCGTCATGCTTGATTCTGTTAACGAATGAAAGAATAACACCTCCAGTTTTCACTGGGACTATTCAAATTTGTTTCAGTGCAGTGTTTAATAAAAGTAGGCTTTAAATGTCATTGGTGGTGCTTACACGTGCTGAACAAAAGGGAGGGAGCCATCAGGTTTCACTTAAGTTTCACTTACCTGCCCTGAACTATAAGTTACTGTAGCCACAGGGAAGAATTGTAGCTTTACTATGTGGCAGTACATAGAGTGTATTCTAGGTGTCTTTCAGTATAGTAAGTGGAGGTTTTCACAGAAATACTGTGTCATTATCGGACAGCTTTGTTTTTCGTATGATCCTGTGGTAGCGAGTTCCTCCTCCTATGCTTTTGTTGTCTGTGAGGTGAAAGAGAATAGTATCTGAAGTGGTAGTTTTTGCAAATAGTCACAGAATGGTAAAACCAAGGAACACATTTTGCTGATAATTATAAATGTTTGGCATCCAAGCTTACCCAGAAAGTGCAGAACAGGAAAACATCTTCGATCTAGGAATGAGAGTAGTGTAACGCCTTTTGTTAATGGGAAACGACGTGCCAGTGCATTTTGTTATCATTGGGTATATCATTTAAAGAATATGGTGTTTTCCCAGTTTTTTGGGACAGTGATAAAGACCGTGCTGATGCAGATCCAACCCAGCTTCCTTTAATTTAGGCAGTGTCATTCGTAATGCGTAAAAGTAGTCTCCGCAGACAAACAAAGTCATAGCATGCGTGGCTAGCCAAAGTTCTCTTCATGTATTTACTGTTTGTACAAAACTTCATCTTTCTCCACATCCTTCCAAGTTTCTTTTAGGATCCAAAAGTCCTTTACATGCTACTAATAAAAAAGCAAAACGACAATCTGAAAACCAACTCCATAACTAGCAGACAGTTCATTTTGAAGGGATTCATGTTCCACAAGTGAAAACAGCATTTGTTGTATGAGACTTGCAAGCTTTGAAATCAGGTGACTTGGAAGTAAGCTGGGCATTTAAATAGTGTCAAATGTTAACACATACATTTATGAATAATAACTCTTGTAAGCTGTACTTAAAAGATAAAGGATTCTGTCCCTTAGAATGCTTTAGGAGTATTGACTCTGGAAAAAGATTTGATTAATCAGCTAAACATGACCTAGCAGGATGACAGTGAGAGTGAAAGGAGTGATACAATCTTTGAACATACAAAAAAAAAGAACAACCAGGTAGAAAAACTGTGTTAACCCTTCTGAGTTGCTACAGTAATGGATCCAATTCTGATGCAGAAGGGAAGGACAGTAAAAACTAGAAAAATTGAAAGAATTATTAAAGGACTGGATGGAAGGTAGGAGTTAACCTGCGAGGCTAGGTAGGTATTCTGTTGCTGGTGAAAGTTACAAGGTAATTCTGTCACAATCTATAAATATCTGTATAGTGGACATAATTTTAGATTGATTTCCTAAGAAGACAAGGCTTACGGCCACATGAGCTATTAATTCATTCTTGAAACCCTTTTTACTCCATTAACCAATTGTGACTTAGTTTCAGGGCTTCTGACTGTAGCTTGTGCTAGGACCTCTGCTAGATATTGGAGAATCCAGGGAATCATCCATTATCAAGACACAGGACTTTGGAAAGCAGGTTTCAGTGGTTGTTCTGCTCACAAAACCATTTGCTTTCCATAATAGGTCTTTTAAGTGTCTTATGCAAAGGAATAAAATAGCTCATTACCTTGAAAGTTGAAGTAGAGAGTAGGAGCAGTTCTTTAACAGTTTACACAATTTGTAAGTGCTGTGGTGGTCTCGGTATCACTGGAAATTTATAAAAACAAATCTACAGTGTGTCTGTGTCCATTCAGTTCTGCCTCCCCCCATGTTTTAGTTCAGGTATGGCTATTTGCATTTCCTTCACTTAATTGAAGAATTTGTTGAGACAGTATAATACAGTCTGTAGACTGATGGTTCTTCATAACTTTATCATCTGTGTTGCTCTGAGGAACCTTGTGATAAATACAAGAACATTGAATGATTGGTGACTCATGAATCATACTAACTTGATATTGAATTGTATTCTAAATCCTAAACAGAATGGGGAATGCCTCACCAGCCCCCTCATCCACCTCCAGATCAGCAGTGGATGGCTCCAACACCAGGTCAAATGGAAGTTGTTCCTCCATCTGAAGACAGCAACAGTCAGGACAGTGGGGAATTTGCTCCTGACAACAGGCATATATTTAACCAGAACAATCACAACTTTGGGGGACCTCCCGATAACTTTGCAATGGGGCCAGTGAACCAGTTTGACTATCAGGTGAAACATATTTGTTGCTTTAATATTGTAGACGCGCAGAGTCCCTTCCGTGGATGTATTCCTCTAATATCATCTAGCGGCGACTTTCATTCTTCAGTTCTACAAACATCTACAGAATCTGTTGTCTGCTAAGATACATTTTTACCAAATACTTTACAGAAGAGACTTTAGAGTTTTCAGTTCTGTTCTGAGGCAAAAGGGTGGTTTTTTTCTATACTAGTAATGAGAAATGACTGTTGTCTGCAATATTAAAATGAATCACTGTCTTCCAGTATATAAATTAACATTATGTAGTTTTGTGGTTTTTTTAAAAAAAAAAAAAAAGGAGGAGGAAGGGTTAAAAAAAAAGAGTTCAGATATATATGCTTAAATACACTAGATAATGTACCATAGGGAACAGTCCGGTATTTGCAGGGAGATAGACTGGATGATCCATTGATCTTTTCCATATCTATCTACTGTGATTCTTTGAATAAACAATGATATTTCTAAAACATCCACATCCACTTTTTTCTTCATTCTGGCATGTAAGTTGTATAGCATAATAAATCTGTAGGTGGTTTTAGCAGTAATAATGTCAGGGAGCATCGCACAAATCTTTAAACACAAAGAAGTTTTGGATCTTCCCCCTATTTTCAGTATTTCTCTTTCAAAACTCCTTGATATAAATGACAAACTGTACATGTTAAGACACCTACCTCCTGTTCATAAACAAACCCAAGAGAAGACGGGTGGAAATGTGTTTGTATCTTCTAGCCTACTTTTCTCTATTATTAAATTCTCCTGTTCAACGGTCTTGTTAGGAAGTGAACCAATAATTTGCAAATACATTAGTTTATTATAATCTCTTTTCTTTGCTATTGTGGGACCAACTCTTTAAAATTACTTTCTCTAAATACTACAGAAAACTTGTTTTGCAGTGAATAACAGAGGGATGCTTGACCTGAAATTATAGTGGAAGAGTGCTTCTAGCACTAGTGACTTAAATAGTCAAAAGAATATAATAAAAAAAAAAAATACATGATGCCTCAACTTTCTTCCTAAACATTCTCCTCTTAAATAGTTTCATTAGGCATTTCTGGGCAGCAAATATTAAAACAAAAAAACCCTTCATGTATGCCTCAAGACTTGTGACTTTTGGATTGTATTCAGCTTGCTCAGAACCCAGGGTCTGTACTAAACTTGCATATTTATGCATTTAATATTTTAATCAGCCATACTATTAACATCCATGAATGATTACTGGAAAGTGCACAGTGCAAAATTCTTTTGTAATAAAACCTTCAACTTCTCATTTTTGTCCTCACGTTGTAGTTACAAGGAAAGACTGCTAACATAGCCAGACTTTTAAACCTTAATTTTGTATACTCTTCATTTAACTGCATGCTCTGATGATAAGCTGGCAAGGAACTGCTGGAGATAGATGGTGATTATAGGGCTTAATGTTTAGCATGATATGAAAGGAGATTGGTTGAAGCCCTTTCAGCTTCGTTAGTATCCCTGCTTAAATCTAAGTTTACTCATTAAATATTTAAGGAAAACTTGTCTCTTGGGGACCACAGAAAAAGATTGAGAGATCTCAGTAGCCTAGAAATCGTGGATTCCTACTTGCATGGATTTCTGTAGACCGACTTGCGCACATGCTGTATTTAGTGTTACCATGTGAAGAAAAATAAACTGCATTACTCTTTCAGCATGGGGCTGCTTTTGGTCCACCTCAAGGTGGATTTCATCCACCTTATTGGCAGCCAGGACCACCAGGGCCGCCAGGTCCGCCAGCACCTCCTGCACCTCCTCAAAATCGAAGGGAAAGACCCTCATTCAGAGACCGACAGCGTTCACCTATTGCGATGCCTGTGAAGCAGGAGCCTCCACAGATTGGTACATGTTAACCACTCCTTAATGAATAATCATAAAAGCTGTGTTTTGAAAAGAATTGCAAAATTTGAAGACTTTTTTTTTGTATAAAGTAAAAAGAAAGGGAAAGAAGGAGTTATTGTAAATGATTTTTCCCCACAATCTGATGGGGGCTTGTTTGAATTGGGGTGGAGGGTTTGCTGCTTTGTTCCTTTTTTTTTTTTTTTTTTTTTTTTCTTCTTTTTTTGGGGGGAAGGTTATTTTCATCTTACAAAACTGTAAACCTTGTTTATGTAGATGCTGTGAAGCGTAGAACTCTGCCTGCCTGGATTCGTGAGGGTCTGGAAAAGATGGAACGAGAGAAACAGAAAAAATTGGAAAAAGAGAGGATGGAGCAGCAACGTTCACAGATGTCTAAAAAAGAAAAAAAGGAAAGTGAGGAGGCTGAAGAAGGGGATGGTCCACGGTTACCTCAGAAAAGTAAATTTGTAAGTAGAAGGGTTTGCTTTTTTCTCAGGTTTGTATTTGCTGAAAGATATCAACTTTTTGGTCTCGTTCAAAACAGAGACACTGTCTTCCTGGTTATCTCTGTCTTTCTGTTGCCTAAAGTAAGGCTAAGCTGCTGCTTTGTTGATATTTACTTGGTGTTTTGAAGTTTTTAATGTCTGAGAGGTGAAAGTATATTATTTGATCTGTAGAAGCAAAGAAACAATTACGAAATTGGGCTTTTTTCTTTTCTGTATTTTGGGAACATACATGGTCTTTGAAGGTTTGAATTCTTAATCAGTAGCTGAACAAACGCGGATACCTGTATTGCTAAACTGAACCCATTTAGGAAGTCTTACGTTACCTTCACTTTAGCAGTTATCTCATTTGTTTGCAGTTCTAAGTACCTGTCTGGCAGTGAACTGACAACTATGTATTTTCTTATCTTGTGTGGGTAGAGAGGTACCTGCATGTTTATTAGGAGAGGAGAAAAGAAGTAGGGTTTTATGATAACTGTAATATGGATTTCAGTACAAAGTAAATCAAGTTGACTATCATTAATCAAAACTAATGAGCTTTGCATCTTAAGTTTATCCTGAAGTGTATGATGCTGTTCTTGTAGGACAGTGATGAGGAAGATGAAGATGCTGAAAACACAGAAGCTGTAAGCGTTGGGAAGATCAGCAGGAGTCCATCCCCGGCTCCTCAGGAGGAGCAAAGTGAACCAGAAATGACAGAAGAAGAAAAGGAGTATCAAATGGTATTAATAAAGTAGTTCTCACTAAGGCTTTCTGTCTATTTGCATATTTTTTGGGGGCATAGCAAAGTAAAACACTTTTTTCTCTGCCTAATACTGTCAATAGAGGTGTAGTACACTTCGTACAGTAAAGCAGGGTTATATTTGCATGTCTCTTTATAATGCTGCCTTTTTCATGTAGGTTATATAACTCATATTTAGCACAATAGTGAAATAATGTATCGACTGTAATCTTTACATTAATCGTTACTAATTCTATGGTTTTTACTTAACTTCTCAAATTTCTGAAAACTTCTAAAAATTAAATGCACCTGTCTGAAGTCTATACTTCAACGTCTGTTCGTGTGAAAGGGAACTTAAGAAATCTATTCTTGCAAGAGAGTACTAGAGACCTAAGTCCTAAACCAGCAACAATTTCACTGTGTCTGCAGAAACTTCGCACTTTGAAATCACAGTTGTATGTTAATTGTACAACTGAAACCTGAAGGCCCTGAATTCTAAAAAACTTGATGAATATATTTTTGTAAAGCACACAGCCAGACCGAACAGCTTGGAGAGCTAGCTGCCAACATTTTAATTTTTGTAGTAAATACGTAATAATAAAACCAATTAAGTAACCTCTGATAATTTTGGTAGGATTGAGGTCAGTGAGACAGCATACCAGACTGAAATGTGCTCTTTATTTTTTGGAAGAATAAATGGGATCAGTCTAAGTACATTTGATTTACATACTTGTTTTTGTGTCATCTTTGACATTAGGAATCAGTGCCTTAGGTAGCTATGTGTAATGTAATACATGTGGATGCTGTTCACAGTCAAAATCCAAAGTGTTCTGAAAGTTTTGAAATCAGGTCAAATTTAAACAGTTTCAGACTCATGTTTTTAAGCCATGTCTGTTGAAAGAAGTCGATAAATAAAATGTGCAGGAGAGTACTTTCGTAGCCTTTAAAAGAACTGAAGCTCTATGGATATAATTTGAATGCAGCATTTATTCAAGAGGTTTTGGCCTTTAATTATATGTACAATTTTCTTCAGATGATGCTGACAAAAATGCTGCTGACAGAGATTCTCTTAGATGTCACAAATGAAGAAATTTATTACGTGGCCAAAGATGTTCACCGTAAAGCAACTAAAGGTATGCCTTTTTTTGTTCGGTTTTTTTTTTTAGTTTCTTCTGTGAATATTCTATATTTGCATGTCTCTAGAACATTTAACCTCCATAGTTATCCCCCAAGAACAATTCCAGTATAATGCATCCAACTTGGTAGAGTTCAAGTCCAGTAATCATGTACTCTTGTCCTGTGCAGTGTATTGTGAGTTACTTCAGTTATTCCATTTCTTTCATACAATTCATTTTAGTTAAAAATGGTACCTGTGTGTCAATGGCTCTTGAGTTGTAGCTGTTTCTTAATGCTATCATCTTTATCTCAAGTTCTTAGCTGTTCAGAAGTGAAAAGAGACGAACTTTGAGTCCTCAATTAGTAATTCATTTGCTTTCACTATTAACATTGTACTTACATAACAGATATTTTTTAACATAACTGACTTAATCTAAATATGTAACTACTGAAACTTGAAAATTTTGTGCAGATGCTGTAACTTGGAAAGTGATTTATGAGTATATATTTTTTTTTTCTCTTCACTATCAATTTGCAGTTAAATTCTAAATCTTCGTGGTCAGAAAATCTAGAAGTGGTTTTAAATGGATGATGCGTTTTTAATGTTTCTTCTCTCCCTCCAAAGAACAGCAATAGTAGTAGATTTAACAATACCATAGACTCATGACTATGAAATCGTGGCTATTTGTGTTAACATGTTGTTCCTGTTGTTGATGTGATACAAAGCTCCTGCAAAACAGCTGGCACAGTCCAGTGCACTGGCTTCCCTCACTGGACTCGGTAAGTACGTTCCTTATTTTTGAGAGGGCTTAAAGGGGGAGTTTCACTCTTGCCTTGCATTTCTAGATATTGCATTTTGAAACTAGATTTTAATTGCCCAGGACTATGGGTCACTTTCCGATAACTTTTATCATTGTCAGCACCTTTGTTTGTTCCACAGGTGATCCCACTGATATAAGTGGGATGGTTTTTGGAGTAAAGGACTAGGCAATGTGAGTTAGTGTATGAGAACCTTGCCCTAATATTGAAAATACATAAAAACTTGAGATAAATGTACTTTTCAAAGTATGATTGTTTCAGAAGCACACTGCAGTCTTCAGAGAAAGGAATACTCGTTTATGTTTTTCTCCTATTTTGATCGATCCAAACAAGAAGGGAAAGTTGATAGAAGAGTAATATGAAAGCCTATAAATAAAAATACTATAATCTTTGGAATTTTTCTTTTGTTGAAAAGCTACATAAGCACAGAGGCTCCCATATCATATATTACCAGAAACAACACAGGAAAAAGAGATTGAAATTCCAGCTTGAGACACAGCAGCAAAAGATTTTTCCCGACATGCTTTTTGTCATCTAAAACATACTACAGCAATGTCAGTGATCAGTTACGTGTTCGTTACGTGGAATTCCGATGAATTAGATTGCATGTTATCATCACAAGTATTCACATGGTTTAAAACTAACTCAATAAAGATTGTAAGAACCTCAGACTGAAAGAAAGTAAAATATCTCCATGTCAGATGTTTAAATTGACTTTATCTTTCTCACCAGTCCAGTAGTTATTAATATTTCTAGGGGAGAAGAAAGTCCATTTCTGTTCCATCTCCATACATGTCAAAGTGCAGTGTTTTCTAAATCAATATAGAAAAATTGATATGGCATTCAGAATTTCTGTAGCCTTGGACTACGGAGGCGGCTGAAGTCATTTCAGAGATGTCTTCTGGGAAAGGTCCCAGGCATTTTCTGTCCGGTTGCTGATACAGAGGCAGGCACTGTTACGATCTGCGCAGGGAGCTTTTTTGCCCTTCCATACAATGGAAAAAGTACTGTGATCACAGTGGTTGCTTGCCGAAAATAGACGAGCTGTTCCAGAAGGAGTAGAACCAGACAGTGAGCATCAATGCAGATATGGGGGGCCTTGATCACACCAGTCAAACAACATTGGCACTTACCAGAATAAAGTGACTTCTTCAGAGAAGAGGAGGTGAAGGAAGGGCAATGTTACTCTCCTCTTTGCCCCACAGAAATATTAAGAACAAAGCTTAATCTTTCCTCGTGATAGACTGGACTTTATGCACGCAGGTGGACTGGGTGGTTATGGATCAGGAGACAGTGAAGATGAGCGGAGTGACAGAGGCTCTGAATCATCTGATACTGATGATGAGGAATTACGACACAGAATCAGGCAAAAACAGGAAGCGTTTTGGAGAAAAGAGAGAGAACAGCAACTACTACTAGAAAAACAACTAGAAGGTAAATCATACAATGTCTTCTTACTATGCTGCTGTAGGTGGAGTTTAGTACTTAGTATATGTAAATGGGTGGGAGAGAGAACATTTTAAACCAAAAAAAAATACAAAGCCAAATTTAGAAATAATGTTAATTAAAAAGTTCTGGCAAAAAAGATGTTTGAGCTACTTGACCAGAATGGGGTTTGCTTCTTTTCTTTCTAATAAGAAAGAAATCCATGTAGTGTTTTCCATAAACTTCTATTTCAGTGTTAAAAGAGGGGACATGGGGCATATATAGCTATATGCTACAGATACTATGCTATGTAAATAACAGTATCGCTTTATAAAAATGCGTGTGTGTGTACAATGTATTTTTTAAAAAATTACTAGTATCTCAGTTATGACAGAGGGTTAAGTTTCACCTTTCTACACCAGACTGCAGTTTATATAAACTTGATTCCTTAAAGGTGTATGCTCTAAGTGTATGAAGCACATTTCACATCATCTGAAGAACTTGCTTTTCTGTTACACAATCCTGAGCAGCGCACCTTTCAGAATGTACCATGGGAGGCTGCTGTTTCTTTGAACTTGCTATTCTCAGCTGTAGTTGAGGCTTTTTTCTATATGCTGCATCTTCATAACTGGGTTTTTATACCTACTACTGGGGAAAGATTATCGAACCCAGTCAGTTCACACTTAGCTTCTGAGAAGGTGGGAGGCTTGATTTAAAAAAAAAAAAAAATCAAAAAAAATCTGTGATTTACTCCTGCTTCTTCATAGAAGGTAAGGTTTGTCCTTTTGTACCAATAATGTCGGTCAAAGGGGTATCGCAGTCACCTTGCACTGCTGAAAAGCAGTCTGGGTCAACAGATGAGTACCACGGTAAGAAGTCGTGATCTAAGTTCATAAACTGGAAGAGAAAGAAAGTGCCATTACGATAGCGTACTTTTTTTCTTATTTTAAGATGGATGATTTCCTCCTTTAACTTTTTATTTTAAAGGCCTAGAAATAAGACATATGGATCCTTAATGAAAGGCTGAACTAGCTAAACTTTTGGTTTCCTTAATATTCCTGTCTCTGAGTGATTTAAGATTTATGCATAAAAGAATAGCTGTATGGAGAGTGACTGAGTGGTGGCCTACGAACGTCTGTCTTCCTAGTGCAGGAAGCCACATGTCAGTTTGGGGACATCTCCGTGGGGCTATTTACAGAGAGGGAAATCTCGAGTAAAGAAGCTCATTCTGTACGTCCAAAATACTGAAGAATACTAAACGAAGGGTCTCATTTGTAGGAACATTTAGGAAAGGCAGAAGATTTCTAATATACGATCCAGCATCTTCAAACATACCCTGGCTTCTGCCTGTAGTACCCAGTAACTTGGGGACCAGATGGAATTGTTTTCTGGTTAGATTTGATGATCAGTTGCCATTTGGATCACTCTGAGTTTCTGGATGCAGTTTTATTTCTGAAGTTAATTCAGGACCTGATGGCCCCCATCAAAAGGCTGGTTTTTGGCTAAAAATGTTGTATGTCAGTTATTTTTTTTCTGGGTTCAATTTAAGATGGGAAGGGGAGATAAACTTGGCCAGTGATGGCAAGAATCCTAGGTTGAATAGAAATAAGTAAAACTTTTTTAAAGTTGGAAACCTCTGGAAAATGCTCTGAGGATCTGAACTTCTTTCTTTTGCTATATGAAAATCTTGGCCTGATACTCATTGTGTTACTTTCAAGAAATGTATTTTTAATTCTTCTGTTGTCTTCTTACCACATTTATAGTATTTGCTGACTACCAAGCTTACATATAATCTCGACTGACATTAACTTTTTGTTTTGTAAGAGCTTCACCATCTATCTGTATTCAGTGCTGTGGTCTTAACTTTTGAGCTGAGTCTTAAGCAAAGAATTATCTGCAAGTCTCTTTTTTGATGCTATTCCTCTCTTCCTTGGAATTCATTGGCTACAAAACCTGTTAAAAACAAGGAAAAATGTAAATTGCTTGTACTAGTTAGCATTTAGGACTAACCCAAGTTATCCTTGGAAAACACCCAAAACCCAGTATTTTCTTTCAAAAAACAAAGGTGTGTCACTACAGCAGAAGGTACTCCTCTAAGACTTTTTTTGGGTAACGGGGCCTACAAAACATCCAGGTACAGCCAACGTTGTTCTGAGGTTGAGAGACCACCCATGCGCCACGTGGGAAATACAGCTTCTTCGGACCAGCCAGTGATTACTCCCAGATGGACAGGGCTGGAAGGAAGGCAGGAGGTGTAGGTACTGCTTGAGGAGTGTTGTAGGAAGGAGAAGGGCAGAATCAGGTGTGTAGAAAGGTTGCAGGAGGAAAAAGTATGTGTGTGTAGATGAATTTGGGAGTTCTGGTGCTCCAGAGAACTTTGTCTTAAACCACTGAAGAATGAAATAACACCAAGGACTTCTAAAAATGTCTGGGTTGTACGCGTTTTCTAAACCAGGAGGACAACTTTTCTAGAATTACCAAAAAAGAAAATAACAAATTGGGTAGGTGGTTGGTATGATGGCAGGCAGTGTATTAATTATAAAGTATTATGAAAGGTGCTTGGAAATTTGGTTTTGCCAAAAGTAACAGTATGGCAATTATTGACATATTGCTACAAATTAATTGCATTTTTCTTTTTTATACTTTTTCCCCAGAAGAAAAGCTACAAACCGAAAAAGTTTCAAAAGAGATGAATGAATTTATCAACAAAGAACAAAACAGTAACTCGGCATTGCAGGAGGCAAAAGAAATTGAAGCAGATATGGGTCATGAAAAGAAAAGATCTCCAAACGCAATCGTACCTGATACAGAACTCAAGAAAGAGGGTAAAGAGAGGACAGGAAGGAGTGGGTCCAGAAGCTCTAGCAGCGGTAGCACTAGCAGCAATAGCAGAAGCAGTAGCAGTAGCAGCACTGTTTCTAGTTCATCCTATAGCAGTAGCTCAGGTAGTAGTCGCAGCTCTTCGCCTTCTTCCTCTCCGAAAAGGAAGAAGAGACACAGTCGCAGTAGGACGCCTTCACATAAAGTTAGGCGCAGTAGAAGCAGGAGTTACTCCCACAGAAACAGGAGAGAGAGGAGTAGGAGCAGGGAGAAAATAAGGGAAAGGAGACGATCTAGTAGAAATCGCAGTGCTGACAGAGGGGAGAGGCGAAGAAATCGGAGTCCTTCGAGAGAGAGAAGCTGGGATAGACGTAGAAGTAGCAGCCGTTCACGAGACAGGCGAGCTAACCGTGCGAGCCGCAGCAGGAGCAGGGATAGACGTAAAGCTGAAGACCAGCGTAGAAGTCCTACTGGAAATAGGCACAAACATAAAAGTGAGGGTAAAGATCAAGAAAGGAGGAAGGAGCAGGGTGGAGCTATAGATAAAGACAGAAAAAAGAACAGAGAAAGAGAGAGAGATCAGGAAAAAAGAAAAGATAAGCCCAAAAAAGAGGAAAAAGAAAGTAAGGCTAGCAATCATGATGACAGTAGATTAAAGAGAAAAAGAGACAGCGAAAGAACTTTCTCTCGCAGCGATTCAATATGTGTGAAAATAATAAGACAGGATTCCAGACAAGAAAGCAAAAAAATTTCTACCAAAGATAGCAAAAAACGGTCAGGCTCCGAATCTAGTGCGAGGAGTAGTTCTGAATCACCAGGAAGCAGTAAAGAAAAGAAGGCTAAGAAATCGAAGCATATTCGGTCATGCTCCATGGAGAAATCTCAAAGGTCTGGTAAGAAGGCAAGCCGCAAACACAAGTCTAAGTCACGATCAAGGTAGTATACTTTTAAAGTATTTTGTCTGACCTTTTTTTTTATTTTGTTTTTTGATATTCGTCTTCATGTGTACGGCATATGAACTTTTTAAAATAAAGTATGGTATTTATTAAATTTTTTGTCTTGGGCAAAAGTAACTTTGGAAAAATCTTTTAAAACTATTAATTACTAAGCCTAAAGTGTGTGTGGGTCTGGGGGTCTTTTATTTTTTCCAATTAACTTTTTCCCCCTTTTCCTTTATTTTTCAGATCAACGACTCCTCTTCGTCGTAAACGCTGAGGAATTTATGGCACCAGTGCTATGACGTTTAAAAATTCCATGAGTTATAAAAGGCTTGTCTCATTATAGAGGCACATTGTGGCTATGTAGGTGAAACCAGAATCCTTTTTTTATCTGTAAATAGGTGTATTTTTTTCCAAATGCTGCTCAGAATTAAATACCTAATAGGATTTCTTTGTATTACATTTTTTCAAGAACGGTAGTGCTTATTAAGAATATAAAACAGGCCATTCTCTTTCAGCTGTAATGTTCTTAAAATTACTATTGAATGTACTGTGATGTCAATAAAGCTCTTTAGTTCCTTTTTTGTTTAAAATTCTTGCACCTGAATTTTGTGTTAAATTGTAGAAAGTACTTCAAAAAAAAAAAAAGAAAGAAAAAGGCAGCTTTTTTTGGTATAACAGATTTTTAAAGTACTTGAAAAAGATTTTAACGCAAAACACTTGTCAAAATATGTAATCCATGGACATGGTGAGATTAATCTATTGGGGGAGGGTGTGGAAGAACAAAGAAAAGACCTCTTATTTTTTCTTTAGATATGTGTAATAGATTTTTAATAACCTTTTTATTTGGACTAGCAAGTAATATATGCTGTGTGTGTAAAATATGGGTCACTGTAATACCAGCTATACTTAAACAGACTGAACCCCGTTAGGAATATGTGCGACTTAACGGATCTTGTGTGACAGTGTTAAGCTCTGGAACTATATTCCTCACCCAGTTTTCTGAGAGAACTTTCTGGATGTTCAGGGGTATTACAGGAACAAGACTCAGTCTTTCAGATGTTTTCATGGAATCTATTTATAAATGGCACTCAGTACACATTAGAAAACTGACAATAGGTTTACTTTACATTTTGGCACATGCATTAAATGTGTAGTAAACATTAAAGCTGGTCATTTTTAGTGTTATGAGAATTGTGGTTCCTGTAAAACTAATACATTGATTAGACAGCAACATAACTAAATTTTTCTGGTTTTACTATCACTGTAAAGTCAAAGAGGTGGCTGATTACCTCCTCCTTCAGGAAATGAACTATTGCTGTTAGTAACAAGAATGTGAAATAATACTAGTTTAAAAAAAAAAAAACAAAACAAAAAAAACACCACCACCAAAAACCCAACAATACACAACCCTAGGCCAGTGACTGTTACAGAAGAACATTAATTGAGAAAAAGATTGGAGATCTGTGCCTAGAAGGTCTGGTATGATACCAGTTGTGAAAAAGACAAAAGGCTTAACCTCAAAATAAGATCTCTTTGATGGCTGTATCTTCTAAGAAAAAAAAACAAACACAAAAACAAAAAACAAAAACTTGCAAAGCATGTTTCATGAACAGATTAATCATTTAACTAAAATTAGAGTTCAGCCATGCAGCATTTTTGCCAGTGTAACTTTTTTTCATAAATTAGATGCAGAAGTAAACTGCTTCAGTGCAAAGAATCACGTTTTAACTATATGTTTATTAAGCAAGCTAACGGCTGGTGATGAATACGTGCATGTTTATCCCAACACTGTTACAGATAACTAATCAGTTCTCGATGTCATACCCCCCCCAATTAAGTCCTTTTACATAGCGTAAGCAGTCATACCTATTAGCAGAATAAGGCATAATTTGCAACACACTACTTTTAACTTGCGTTGCGATGGATATAAATAACGAGGTATTGATCCGATCTTGGTACGCTATTGGCTTTTGGTAAAAGTGAGGATTTGTTGAAAAGTGGGTAGCGTAACAGTTCAGATGCCTTAGAAGGATGTCTTTTGAGAGAGAAAGAAACTAGAATTAAGTTGAAGAAAAGCTATTGAGGAATACAGTTTCCATGATGCATTGAATTTGATTTTCAGTTCAGATTTTATTTTCTCTGTCTAATAATAAAAAAGATTGTGTATGAAAAGCTTTATATACTCTGCCAACAACTGGAATTCTGTCACTTCCTGTAAATATGAAAATTATTTTTTTGACACAAATGCACTTATATGGGTAGTGACTGTATGCCAATAAAAAGAGCATACGATCTCTGTACGTAACTGTTTCAGAAATCTTACTAAACAGCATATGCAGCACACCAGTAATTAAAAAAATATCGGTACTGTGTCAGCTTCACGTACATGGGACTTCTTTGTGTTCTAGTGACTCCCTTATGAGTGTTTTTCAATGGTAAAGGCTAAAATAACATCCAGTCTTTAATTCCATACATCCGAAGTGATCTTAAAATATGTGCAAATACATACAAAAATGGGAATGCATCATTTTGGAAAAGTTGAGCTGTTGCTCTGCTCTTTTACATTTTAAAGTAAACACTGCGAAAATGTTTCAGTGCACTGCAGGAGAGCAAGACGTACGATTTTGAATGTCATGCAGCAACGTGACATTTGGAGGCAGTTCCCTTGAAAAAGTTTTTTAATAAATAAGGGACGGTGTGGAATCAAGTGAAAAAGTGTTTCCGTGCAAATTGTTCTGAAGATGAAGGCAACCAAACCAGCGTGAGTATGTACCCCAAGGTACCTGTTATGCCATCGAAGAACGGGAACCGGCTGTGGATAGGCCAAAAAAGAGGAGCTGGGTAAAATGTTCTCAGTTTAAATATGGAGCAACTACACACTTTTTGAAATATGGCATAATAACTGGTTTGGGGAAAAAAAAATAATCTATTGTTATTTGCGTCTTTGGGACCCTGTCTTGTGGGAGAGGTTAGACTCCAGGCTGCTGCTTTTAACTGCTGTTATCTTAAAGTCTGTGTTTAGTCACAGAAAAACGGAATAGCTACCTCTGGCTTAAAACCAGCTTATCCTGTTAAGTAAAATACTTGCCAGTGTGCATGTGTTTAATTGCTTGTTACTAAATTTTTAACAATCACAAATATAAAAGCACTGGCAATGTAAGGATTGGCTCGCTTTCTCCCGATTTTGCGTTTGCTTTGCTAAATAAATGAAAAGTAATAAATTAATGTGCCCAAGTAATATGCAGAAGCACACTTTGAAGGAAGGCTTGGGTTTGAGTCTTAAGGAGACCGTGTGTCTTGGCATAAAGGATTCCTTTGAGCTCTGTTTTTCCAGTAGCTCCGAGGTGTTACTGATGACTCGTAAGTCCACTGCACCGTCAGCTTTGCCAGATGGAAAGTGGGTGAGTGGCGAAGCCGCGTGCGTACACGGTGAGCAGGTTCGCCGTATATTTAGTTGCTGCCGAGACAAGCTGCTTCGAGACCTTTCAGTAGTCCTGATTCAGCTTTTCAACAAAACCAAATTTTAACTACTGGACCAATTATACTCTATTTACAGGAGACCTGTAAACGGGCAGATTTCAAGCAGTGAGGGTTGTAGCACCGAGCGAGGTCGGTTAATCAAGCAGACTGGCATTAGATGGAGGGAAGAGCGAGTCAAACGCAGAGCGGTTGTACTGCAGACCTCCTCCTGCCCCAGGGTGCTGCTGCCCCTGGCTCTGTGCAGGCCCTGCCTCCTGTCTGCGGGTGGCTGGGAACCGGGCCGGGAACCCGGCC